AATTCCAAAAACATACCATAAATTATTCCACGAATGCTTTCCTCCAAACTCGTCATCCATAATCATTATGTTACTTCTCGTGTCTCGCTGTATAACCTTTGTTGTTGGAACATCGTTAAATATACGAATAGATATACATTTATGTGTTCCAAAACGCAAGTAGTGTTGCTGTATTAGTTCAGATCTACCTTCAGTATGTAATAAATCTTATGATTTTCTCTTGTTGAAAAGCCGTTGGTTTATCAACATATTCTGCTTGATCTACGATGCATAATTTAATGCAGTCTATTGCTGCATGCTAGAGTAAGCATGTCCTACAACTTGTGACACTCTGCCCACGCATGATTGTTTATATCCATTCGCCCTTACGTATTTCTTCGTTGTTCTTTTCTTTCACCAAAAATCCCTTCTGAGTGGTTAGCGCCTCCATTTTCATATTCTGGAGGGCCCGAGTTTAAATCTCTGCCCGGTGATTGGCCTTCTTGATTGATCCTGACTTGAGTGTTTTGTGAATTTCCTCAGTTCCTCCAGGCAGATGTTGGGATATTATTCCTACCTTAAATTAGGCCATGCTCACTTCCTTTTCTATCCTTTCAAATTCAGAATTCATCAGTCATCTTATCTTTCAGCACTGTATATTCTCAGCTACTACAGAGAGTCATTGAATAAAGCACACATAAAACAAATAAATATATTTTCTTTCTTTTCTTTCATTCTTATTTTCTTTATTTGCCATCATGATCAAACTGGCTCTGGGATCTACCCAGTGTCCCACTCCGTAGGCACAATCTCTAGAAATAGGGAAGGTGAATGGTGCATGGGGCTGATCATGTACCTCCATATCTAGAATCAAGATTAAGAATGCAGGAGATTTGCCTCCATTTCTCCTACACAGCTTAGTGCTTTGGCACTGTGACAACTTTTGTTTTGCTGAGGGAAATAGGTTTTGAGAGTAGGAGGTGGGTGGAACTTGCGCAAGATTGCGTCCAGTGGTGGGCTCTCATAAGCACTGTTAAACCTTGGAGTTCTAGTACTAGACAAGTCTGCCATGGTAAACAGATGGTAGTGGTTCACATTTGAAGAGAAACATGAAACAGCTGCACATGCAGATATGATGGTCAGAAACAGACCTATTAATATGAAACAAAGGATTGCTTTTGCATATTGAAGCCCATGGCAAGCCATGCACAGGATGTTGTTACTTTGTCAGTCCATACATTTGTTAGTGTATTACTTGAAGATTGCATGTCAATCTCATTTGTCATTAAGCAGTTTGGGCTGTGACAGCTTGTAACCTGGCCGAGGTTCAAAGAGGTAGGGTGTGGACTGATTTCACCTGGCTCAGGATAGGGTCCAGTTGCGGAATCTTGTAAGCATGGTAATGGACCTCCAGGTTCCATGGAAGAATTTCCTGACCAGCTGAATGACAGCTTCTCAGGAAGGGGTCTGTTTCATAAGTGATCTTAAAAAAAGTCTAGCTGTTCAAAGATTTATCAAACATTCAAGATGATCCTACAGTGAATAGTTCTAGTGGTTATTCATTTATAACTGGTGCAAATTCAATCACGCAAATTTTACAACACTCTGGGTTGTATAACACTGCATAGTCATAATTCTTTGTCCTCGTATGTCATTGAATATTCATCACATTGAGATATGTTTAAAATAAGAATTGTAGTTTCTAATTTTGTACTTCTTACTTGGTATTGATGTTATCATGGATTACCATGTCTTTGAGAAAGCAATACATAAAGTTTGTTTTGAAATTTATGTAAAGAAGTGGTTATCTTGTACCTCCAAGTGTCAAAATTAAATTTACCTGATAATACTAAATGTTGTAATTGCCCTGAGGAATCAAGAAAAGTCATTAAAAGTTTGCTAAGATATACAGTTTTAAGCCTGGTACTCCAAGTAACAATTTATACTATTTTATGGCATGATTAAGAATAGATGCGATGTTTTAAAATACCAGCATAAGTGGGCGTTATAATGATGGTTACATGCCAAGATTCAAATAGCATGTACAGGTGTTACATAATGATTAAAACTTTAGTGTTGACCAGTATGTTTCAGTCATCAAATAATCAGAAGAAAGTGCCAGACAATAAACATTTGTAATGAGCCGTTAAATTTTTAATTGGGTAATGTAATAGCACCCTGAAGGGGTGAGAGACGCATACTTTTGGCATTCTCTACACTGAAATACACTTTTATAAAATTTACCAGAATGGCTTATCATAAAAAGTATCTATGATATGAAATGTGCAACCCATGAAGGTCTGTAACTTTTATTTTAAGACCAAATTGTGTGATTTTTATGTTGCACAAAATACACTAGCAACAGTTTGGATGGTCCAGGATTGCTTCTAGCAGCAAAATCCCGTAGTCTTCATCCCTTTAAATGTTTCCTTATGCATACCAAGGGTATTTATAATTATAAATTGATGATGTATATATCAGGGAAGTTTCTCCTGCATTTCTCTTTTTCCTTCCAGGTACCACATTTGACGCTTATTCTTACCCATCTACACCTTTATACATAACACATTGTTTCTTAGGCTGTACCATAGTACTGGCAGATAGTCACCAGTTTCTCATCACAGAGACCTGGGTTTGCTCCTAGGTCAGTCTGTGCAAGATTGGCAATGGACAAAGTGGCACTGCGACAGATTTTTTTCTGAGTCCTTTTTTTCCCCTTGTCAGTATCATTCAACTATTGCTGCACATTTACTTATGTCATCTGGGGGGTGGACAGGGAACCCATCAGCAGTTGTGGTTTCAGAGATGTAGTCATTGTGGCAATACATTTCTTTCCTTTTGAAAGGAAAGAAAGCTGATGTAACTGTTCATCTAAAATTGAAATAACTACAAACATGCATTTCTTCAGAGATAAACATATCAGTTTACCCATATTATTATTTTTGCATGCATGCATATTCCAAAGTTGTTCTAAAACTAGAATTTGGGTACCATTCTAAATTAAAATGAAAGTCTCAGTTTGTAGTATTTACTTCACATATCAAATTTTGTTTAAGAAAAAATTATAATATAATTGTTTATTTGTTAGTTGGCTTGTTTATATTAATCACATTAAAATATACTGGTAAAATACCCCTCCTCTCCTTTCTGACATACCACCCAAAACATTTTGTATACTCTACACAGGTTCTTCAACCACAGTTTGAGAACCATCCTGAACTGAAATTCTCCCAACTACTTGGAGTGTTCACTACCCACACAATCATATTAGTAAAAACTCAGTTTCTTTTGTTACCTTGTTTGTATGCTGTTATTTCTTACCTTAAATCAAGATTAATGAAGTATGCTGTTTTGTTGCTGTGTAGCCATTTCCATTTGGCACAGTTTTGCTGTTCTACATAATCCATATTATCCCAGTGGTGAAAGACACCACCACATCTAGTTCTCGTAACTTGAAAATAGAAGGAGATAGACACACACAAATACACAAGCAGTTCCAAGAACTGATTCTATTTT